ATTCAATTTAATGAGGAATTTACATGTCTTCAAAAAAATGTCAATTGAAGTAACATATTTGGATATATTAATAATTTTATTTGTACGATATATATATATATATTACTCTTAAGCACGATGTTAACTCTCGAAACAATAAATGAAAACAATACTAAAATTTTCCTACCATAAACCGTAAAAAAACAAAAATCTTATAACAAAAAACAAAAATGAACCTCCATATTCGATGTTAAGCTAAAAGATCAACCAAAGGTAAAAAAATAGAATATATTCATTATATTGAAACACACATACTTCAACCATAAATCCTAAATAAATACTCTACGCTGCAGGACTGCAGAATTACACCCTATAATAATAAGAAAATTAACATAATTTTCCATCATAAACATCGATAGTTGGTACTTATAAAGGTTTAAAAAATTGAATTTAATAAATAAAATGCACCCACATAATTTGAATCACCGTTACTCTAAGATAACTAGGATATTGGAAATCTCCTAGTTTTCAAGAAATCTGCTATTTTTTTGTATACGAAGGTTTCAAAATTTGAATTTAATAAATAAAATATACCAACAATTTGATAAATAATATTAGAAATTAAATAAGATGAAACAGTAGGAAAAAATAATTAGAAAATTGAATCCCATATAGGAAATTTTTTTCAGAAAAATATTTTCAATTTTCTTTTTCTTCAGTTTTTCCAATACTTTCTAATTTTTTCGAAAAAAATATATATATTTTTTTATTTTTTCGAACCATTTTTTTCAAACTTTTTTTTCAAAAAAAAAATATTGTTTCTTATTTTTTTATATTCGTTGATTTTTTTTCTAGTTTTTTTTAGTTTTTTTTTTATTTTATTTTCAAATTTTATTGTTTTTATTTTATACTATATATTTTTTTTTAATAATTGAACATGTCATTGTTATTAATAGATGAAAGCTAGAAGGACAATTTTGTCATGACCGTATCTAATCATAGCACAATATTTTTATTGGACCTCTCAAGGTCCAATTAGTTATTTCTCAATTAGCCAATATAAGGCCGTGACAAAATTATTTTGACGGGTCGACCCGTAAAATAATAGGACTAACCAAACATCAAGCTAAACCTTACTATTTAATTAGTTTTGGCTAATCTCTCCAACCAAACGGACCCTAAAGATTCAGCAGTTAAGTAACTTGATTTGATGACAATGACAATCTTAATACATTTATAATTAACATCATTAAGCATCATTTCAAAATATATTTAATAACTTCTAAAATAGTCAGATATGTGACTGACCAAAAAAGATATCATGATACATATATCTCATAAAATAAAATAAATAAAAAAGAAAAGTAAAAATGCAATGTGGTTAGAGGTGGAAATCATAATGGGATATTGGAATTTTGCCGATTATGATCCAATAATACCCGAGTTTAGAAACATATTTTTCATTTGGATTCCCGACTTTCCAATTTTTTCTTGGCACAAAACTGGATTTGTATATAAAATTATCTGAAATTTCAATTTCCAATCAAATTTTAGTACTTTGATTGTTTTTGAAATATATAATATAATGTTATGATATATTTTTGTAATTCCATAATTTAATGTCACTAGTAGAAAAATGGCTTTTTACTACGATCATTAACCGTAGTAAAAGATATCAAATTCGTAGTAAAAATGCTTTTGCTACACATTTGCTATGAATTGACCCCGTAGCATATATGGGCGTGACAAAAGCTTTGCTACGGTAAATGGCCGTACCAAATATTTTTTTGCTACAGTAAATCCTAGTATTTCCTACGACTTCAAAATTGTTCCGTAATAAAAAATACCATTTATTACGGTTTTCCCGTAGCAAACAAATTCGTAGTAATAAGCAAATTTTCTACTAGTGTGTATTTTATTTTTTTATGAAAAATATGAATAACGGTCAAGTAAACTAAAAACCATAAAAAATTAATTGGTATCCGAACTATTTGTTGCATATTGTGTGTTAGCCGATTCTATAGATTCTCGAACACCGGCTAGTTTCTACATGTGGTTTTATTTATTGCAATTTACTGAATTCTTTTTTGGATGTTTGTGCATTTAAATATAAAATCCCGAAAAGGGGTGAAAACATGTGAAAGTTCCCATTATATCCGAATTTGGATTAAGAGATTATAAATTAGGGGTTATTTGAGATAGGCCCCTCACAATGTGGTATAAACCCAAGCCTTTTTATTGTTTGAAAAATCCATTAGTTCTAATTAAGTTTCATTTGATATAAACAAAAATAATTATCTTATACCATTTTCTACCCTTTCAAACCCTAATTAGTGTTTGATTTATTTTATTTTATTTTGATTATTATTAGTTTTATTATTTATGTAAAAAAAAAAAGAATTCCACCGGTGACTTGGGTGGTTGGAACCCCGGTTAGCTGACTCATCATTAGTTATTAACTTCAATTAGTTGACATTCATTTTTTTTTCTTTTATTTTTCTATTTTAATATTTTTTTTTCCGGCGGCGCGTCCTCGAAGATTCGGTTAGCTGACTCAACATTATTTAACTTCAATTAGTTGACATTCATTTTTTTCTTTTATCTGTTTTTTTTCTTTCCGGCGGCAGGTCGTCGGAGTTCCTATTACCTAACTCAACATTAGTTAACTTCAATTAGTTGACATTTATTTTGTCCTTTTCTATTATCGTTTTTTTTTTAATTTAATTTTTTTTACGCGACGGATCGTCGGAGCTCTGGTTAGCTAACTCAGCATTAGTTAACTTTAAACAATTTTTCATTAAGATATATATTAATCTTATAATGGTTCTTATAAATCTTACAACCTAATTAATTCAATACATTTTTCTTTTAACCATCATACAAATTAAATAGAAAAAATTGCAAATCATGAAAGTTGTAAATTTTTCCATGAGATTTTAATTCAACTTGAATCACCAAAATTAATTTGTGTATAAAAAATTATGATCAAAATACCTGCTCACGTAAGTTTATTTTATTGTAATCTATGACACCATGATTTATTTGAATCTAACAAATTACAAACATGAAGATTAATATAGCTCTCTTTCTCTATAAAAAAATGTAGTCCTCTTTGTATGTTACATTAAGATTAATATATGCAAAGAAATTTTGATATGATCTAAAATTTAATATTATAAATTGTAAAGTATAAAAAAAATTATTTTTTTATGGGTGTTTTTAATTTAATTTCTCATTAAGAATCTATTATTATGAGCTTTTCAACTGTCTGATGAGCGGTTGCAGATGTTGACGCGAAAACAACCATTCCACTTCCTGTGCACCCTAAAACTTTGCGGCCGAACCGAGCAAGTTTTTTTAATCAAAATATGTCTTAAAAATAGTTTATGGTGTATACCTGTGTACCACATAAATTTCAACTGCTTAACGTTCCCGCATTCGGATACATTTCGTGTCGGATTCTCGAGGATGTCTGCCGGACACCTTATTGGCGATTTTGCAATTTCTAAAAAGTTAGAAACACATGTGTGAAACTTTGAATAGCAAATTTCAGATATTTTTTATGCTTCCCTAATTATATACACGATTTAAGAATCAATTGCAAATTGATAGTTAAGAGTAAAATTTATTTTGAATAAGTTTGTATGAAAATATATAAAAATATTTACACGTGAATGTTTACATATTTATAAATATTCCTCTGTAATTTTAATATTTACACATTCCCAAGCTAAGCTCATGTATCCCCATTTGTCGTTTCCCCGTATCTGATTCCCCGTATCACCGTTTAAGTGCGAGCTAATTGCATAGACCCCCTGTGAAATTTTGAATGGTTAAAAAACCCCTCATGTTAAAAATATTAGCATAGACCCCCCTATATTATTTTTGACAAAGCACACTGGCCCTTATTTCGAAATTAGCAGTTGACTTTTATGAAATAACTAAAGTAACCCTCATATTGTTTAATAATTTATGTTTCAATTAAATAAATAAAATGCAAAAAGATTAAAAAGAAAGAAAAAGAGCGTCTTCCTCCTGCAACCCAATTCTTCCATAAGCCCTCCGCCGCATCACCACCACCACGGCCGCATCACCACCACCACGTTCGCACCACTGCCGCAACCCAATTCTTCCATTGAGCCCTCCGCCGCCACATCACCACCACCACGGCCGCATCACCACCACCACGTCCGCACCACCGCCGCATCACCAACACCACGGCCGCACCACCGCCGCATCCCCACCTGCCTTCCCACCCCAAAAAAAGATATGCTTTATGTTTGATGGGTTCTTTCATATCTTTTGTAAATCAAGATGTTCGATCGAAGTACGTTTTGTGCGTGTGTGTATTGTACTGGGGATTGTGTTTTTTGTGCTTGAAGTGTTTTTTTCTTCCGGCGGGTTTAGATGGAGGAAGCAGCGTTTGTTGTTTTTTCTTCTTTGTTATGAAGATGAATCGGTGGTTTTTGTTTGTTTTTTTTTTTTATAATTTGGCGAGCAGCAGATGTGAAGGAGAGGGGAAGAAGATGATGAAGTTTTGAGATATTATGAAAATTGCAATTTGGTTCTATGCAATTTGGAGAGAGGGCTTTTCTGAAATTAGTGGGGATTGAATTGAAAATTCTGAAAACTTCAATTTGAGCTTATGAAAAATATTTTGGGTAAATTTATAAATTTCAAAAATTGATTTAAAGGGTATTTAAGTCTTTCTAGTTCCTAAACACGAGGCCCAGTCACACAAAGCGCAAGTGTATAACACATCGAGCTCGTAGGGTCTTTTTTGGCTTTGACTATTTTTCACAGGGGGTTTTGTGCTAATATTTTTAACACGAGGGGTTTTTCAGCAATTCGAGATTACACATGGGTGGTTTTTGCAAAAAACCCTTTTAAGTGCTGCATAGTGTATAAGTATGTTTTGTATGCAAGGGAAGTTTTTGACGTTATTTGTTAGTCAAGGTTAAACAACAAACTATCACAATCTTTATTTTATTTTATTTGTTCTGTTTAGGAAAACGACCATGAATAAGCATTTAATGCGAACTACAGTATACATGGAAAGTATATAGATGCTGATAGTGTGAACAGAGCGATATATGTGTATTATATTAAATATGGTAAAAAAATCGCAACGGGTAAATTCGCCAGAGAAAATCTTCTATAAATCACGACCATCAGAACAAATTCACAATTGTAATTTTCCTTGTCTGAATAATTCTCATCCATCGATCAACCATGGAAAACAACAAAGAATTAACTATTTGCAAGAAAAAAACAATGGGTCGAAGGAAGATCGAAATAAAAAAAATCGAAAAGAAAAGCAGTCTGCAAGTTACATTCTCCAAGCGGAGAATAGGCCTGTTCCGAAAAGCCAGCGAACTCAGCGTTCTCTGCGGTGCGGAAATTGCGATTCTTGTGCAGTCTCCGGCGAATAAGATCTTCTCGTACGGCCACCCCTCCGTAGAAACTTTGATCCACCGCCACCAGACCGGCGGGGGAGGCGGAGGCAGCAGCGCAGCCTCGAGTATCATCCCTTACAAGGAAGACGGAAGGAGTAAGTACGACGAAGCTGTGAAGAAACTCGAGATCGTAAAGAGATCAATGAAGCAAGAGAGTAGCAGTAGTAGTAATACAAGATTCTGGTGGGACGAACCGTTAGATGGCATGGAACTGTACGAACTTGAGGAATATGCCGAAGCAATGGAAGCTTTGAAGGATAACGTCTCGCGCAGAGTCGAGGAGATGGAGAAGCAGAAATCAAACGCTGCTTCCGCTTCCACGTCGGATCTTGATCGTAGTTTCCAGATTAATTATCAAGATTTCGATGTAAGTTATAACTTTCTTGACTTTCCTTTATGTTTTTTAGGGTTTCTAGGGTTTGTGAAGAAGTTTTTCAATTTTTTCAAGAATCAAATCATTACTGCATGTGTGTTCATTAAATTCAGACATTAACGTGAACTGAGTTTTTTATCATTACAAGTAATTTATTCATTAATATTTCTTGCCAGATTCTTAAAACAGTTTCTTTCAAAGTAATTGTTAGTACATATTTTTTTTATTACTAATTCTTTTTTTCCTTTTATGCTTTAGGGTTTTTTAGGGTTTGAAGAAGCTAATCATGAATACGTATTTTTATAAAATTATGAAAACTAACTGAAATCGAAGGTTCAATGAATTGATGTTTTATCATTTCATATCCCTTCGATATTTCTTGTCAGAAATTCAATCGTCTACATATATATACATTTGTTCTGTGAGTATATGTTGATTATGTTATTACATAAACATTAGTTGACTCGAATTTTTTTTTCTACTTGTTAATTCGGCAGGGATGTAAGAGCGAGTTAGAAGAGATGTTGATCAAAGCGGAGGCTGGAGTTCTAGACATTGATGAACTATTTAATTTCACTCAAGATCCAACCATCTTTTTCGACCTCTGATCCCAAGCTTCATTCGATAATTGTTAACTATTATTCATAGTATAGGCTAACGATATTGTTCGATTTTTGTTTGGAGTCTGATCAATCAGCTGTGTATATATTCATATATTACATGGTTTCCCATTCAATGTACTTTGCTGAATGTGGAATTTTAATTCATTTTTTTTTATACATTCTTGCTCTGCAGTTACTGTTTTCAGGTTTATTCAATTAATTATTGTTTCATCCTCATAAGATATAGGAAATATTTTATTCATATTTCAAGTATGCTAAAGTTTTTCTAATTTTACCTACTCATACAGTTTAGTACACAACGGTAGTTTTTTTTCGTATAATTGGTATAAAAATAAACTAAATTAATTAAAGTACTCTTTAGAAGACATCACTATTTTTTTTTTTATTTGAACATCAAATAATTTACATTACTATTTCAAAATTAAAACAAATAAAAATAATGTCTTCAATTAGTTTAAATTGAATGAATAATTATTTTAAAATTAATAAAATTCAATAATTGTTTAACAAAATAAAAAGGAACCTCGTTAGCTTTTGTTGAATTACACAAACCAAGTACAATTGTTTCATGTAATACAACACGAAATGGGAAAAAAAACACGGTTAATTACATAAAAATGAAAAAAAATTAACTTGGTTCATACATGCTGAATATATTGAATGGACCAAGTGAAATTTGCTCGTGCATTACAACCCGGGGGAAAAAAAACACAGTAGTTTGTGTTGAATTACACAAACCAACTGCGTTTGGTTCGTGTAATTCAACACGGACCACTTAAAACTAAAAAAAATTGAAATGTATATGTAACGTAAACGGGTAATATGGTATTTTTACTTCAAATCTATTGTTTTACGAACAATTTCAAGTTTCAACCGAGAGAATATATTTTTGTTGAAAGGGCTTTAAATATTATGTTAAAAAAGCCCCTGCAAATATTTACCCCTTAAAACTTCCACATGCAAGAATAATATATATAATAGATTGCTAAAATATGATCATTCCGTTGTGGACTTGCAGAAAACTGAAAAGAGAAAATAGTTTAGTCTAATTTTATATTATGAATGTGTTTGAATGAAAGCAAGCCAAGATTTACAAATGGAGATACAAACAAATGTGATGTTAAATGTCTTTTTTTTTTCTTTTTCTTTTTTATAAGATAATGTAAATTTAAGATTATGCATAATATTCTTATACAATTATATATCAATTTAATTATCTGATTTAAATTGGTATAGAAAGTCAATTCCACAGTCTACGACTTTAATGTTTTGAATTTTCTCATACTCGAATCATAAAATGGCTAAAATTATGTTTTAAGTACACTTATAGTGGGTTAATTAGGACAATATTCGTTCATTCATGAATAATTATAATTATATATCTCATCTGACATCCAATTTGATTCAAGTTAGGATTAGAAAGCTAATTCAAATGAAATTTGGTGCTTTTAATTTTGACAAATTTGGGGAAAATGGGACGAAATCACAGATGTAGTTAGAACAATACTAGTGAAATTGAAACGTAGCACCTCCCGTAACAAATCAAGTTTATTTATTTTATAGCCTGTACTAATCCCAGTGTCGCGGGACTAAATGTCGAACCTCAAATGTATTGAATCTATTTATGCAGATTCACATAAATTTATCAATGTATAAATTAAAGATTCAAATATTTTGATGTTTGTGTGCGCATATATATGAATAATAATGTAGGAACATGCAGTGGCGGATCTAGCTATGGTCTAGGGTGTGCAGTTGCACACCCTTGATTTTATACAAATAATACCGTTATACATAAGTTGACAAGAAAAGCAGTTGGTTGAGTTGGTAAAGGTCTTCCTTTATTTGTTAATTGGTACCGGGTTCGAACCCCAGCCTCAACAAAGTTGATTTTTTTTTCAAATTGTAAATTTTTGGTCCACTATTTTTATAAAGTGATATTTAAATTTTTTATTCTACAATTTAGCACCCCCTTGGCAAAAATCCTGGATCCGCCACTGGGAACATGGATTGGTTGATTATCAGTCGAATAAATGTTCTAGGCCACCTTTTATAGGCAATCGACTAAGTTGTAGGTCTGAGAATTAGTAACATCGACCAACTAATATATTTAAAAAATAATTGCCGATCAAACTTTAATGTTTCCAGCTTGGAAATTCTCTCTGAATGAGAGGTCGATTTCTCTCATATTGAGAGGCTTTTCCCTTCTGTCGCTGGCTCTGATTGTCCCATTGCATCCTTCTTTTTTTTCTAGAGTTTTCAGAATATTGGATCGTGTGCTTTACTTCTATAGTTTTTTCAGTCATATGGATTAGATTTGTGTTAGGGTTTAGTGTTATTTATTGTGGAGTCTACTATCCTTTTCCTTTGTTAAACCTAATCGTTATTTCTTTGTTTTCTGTGCCTTCTGTGCATTATTCAGATCTGTTCCGACGGCGCCCCTCTCTAAAACCCTGACCTCTCTTCCACGTCATCTCACTCTCTCTCCTTTGACATGGAGGGTCTCTCGGAATCTATGGCAAGAGGTCTTGCTCTCACGGCTGAGGAAGAAGAAGGAATCACTATCGATTCTACTCATGGCGACGCTAGGGATCAGACTCGGGGGTATCACATGGCTGGGCGAGTGTGCACAACTCGCGAGATCTCAGCCCACACAATTAAGGCAAACATCCTTCGGATCTTCCAGCCCGTGAAAGCTTGTGAAATCAGAACCTTGGGCCAGAATAAATTCATTATCAGGTTCGATCATAGGCTCGACTACCAACATGCAAAATCTGGCTGCCCGTGGTTAATGGATAAAAATGCTATTCTGCTTCAAGATCTGGAGTTAGGCTCGGATGCAACCAAGATGGACATTCACATGATGGCTATTGTGGTGAGAATTCATAATCTTCCTATGATCCAACGAACTCCACATACGATAACCCAAATCGGCAGCACGATGGGCGACGTTTTGGAGATACTAAACCTTAAGGGCCTGGATATATCCCAGTATGTTCGTGTAAAAGTGAACATCGACGTGTCCAAATGTCTGAAACGAGGAATGAATATACACACTTTCAATGGGACAAAGACTTGGCTTGCGTTCACCTACGAACGGCTACCAAATTTTTGTTTTTTATGTGGAGTGATCGGACATGCTGAAAATAGATGCCCTACTAGGTACGAGGAAGGGTTTCATGATCCCGGTGAGCAACTTCCCTTTGGAACATGGCTGAGAGCATCCACCACACAAGTAGGGGATAAACCCCGAACTCCCTTGTGCCCGACTCAACTTGCAGGTGGGGGAGTGGGGGGTCATGTGCCACATGTCGCTCCACGAGGTGGTCAGATCTACAGTTTCGATATCCAGAAGGAGAACCTAATCACAAACGGGATGGACAAGGCGAATATAGCAAACATTATAATTCCAACAGGTGGAGAGGATGCCCTAGTGAACAATCCCATTGTTTTCCAAGAAAGCGAGAAGGCAGGGACCTCCTCTCGACGGATAGTGAAAGTCACAACTAAAGCTAAAAAGAAAAAAGCGGCAGAGGCAGGTTTTATGGATCGAGAGAGTTCTGGGAAACGACAGCAACTTTACGTACGAGATGAAGACTTCAGTTCAACGGCGGAGACTGCTTTGCGGTCCCGCCGATCCCAATGAGTTGTATATTCTGGAATTGTCAAGGGCTCGGGGCACCCTTGACAATTCAAGTGCTCGGGGATATACTCCGAGATCACCGTCCCCTACTGGTGTTTCTCTCGGAAACGAGAGCGACATATTCTACTATTGAGAAACTCAAAAGAAGATGGAACTTGAATGGCTTAAGTGTTGACAAGGTGGGCAAATCGGGAGGATTGGCGTTGTTGTGGCAAAAAAATCTTGATGTGGACATCATTAGTTACTCGAACAACCATATCGATGCGGAGGTTTCTGAGCGAAACAATAATAGCAAATGGCGAGTGACTGGGTTTTATGGATTTCCCGAGAAAGATCGAAAAACTCTATCGTGGGATCTCTTGCGCAGACTTAAGAATTATCGGAATTTGCCCTGGCTAGTAGGTGGAGATTTTAACGAAGTATTAAACAATAGTGAGAAGTCCGGTGGGATTACTAAACAACCGTCCCAACTTAATATGTTTCGCGAAGCTCTGGAAAACTGTGAGCTGCATGATTTGGGCTATGAAGGCCCCATTTTCACTTGGTCGAATAACAGGCTATCTCCACACACGGTTCGTTGCAGGTTGGACCGAGCATGTGCAAATAATGATTGGACAACGTGCTTCCCTAGAGCTCTAGTTAAACACCTCGACTATGCTGGTTCGGACCATATTCCGATTAAAGTACTACTCAGTGCCCCTCCCGTAAGTCTCGGTGGGCGGAAGAAAAGACCTTTTCGATTCGAAGCCACGTGGCTACACCGTGAGGATTGCGAGGAACTGATTCATCAACACTGGTCGAATCCCATTTTGGGTGACCCGATTGAGATGCTTATAAAAAAAAATAAAGATTGTAGGCTTGCTCTTATCCAATGGAGCAAGACCACGGTGAAGCTGCCACGGAAAAGGATTGAAAGCATTCATAAACAGATTCGTTTTCTGGGAGAAGGAGTACAATCCGAGACCACGAGGACAGAGATCCAGAGGCTGAGAACTGAATTGGAAGGAGCTTATGCTGAGAATGATTTATATTGGCGGCAGCGTAGCCGAGTACAATGGATTAAGGAGGGTGATAGGAATACCAATTTTTTTCACGCGAAAGCTACCACTCGACAAAGAATGAACAGAGTGGAGAGAATTAAGAACTCTGAAGGGGTATGGCAAGAGTCGAACACGGAAGTGGAGAGGGTCATTTCGGACTATTTCGACCAGATCTTTACAACGACCAACCCAAATGAGGATGAGATCGATGAGGTGCTTGAGGAGGTGGAGGCTAGGGTTTCGGGAGCGGCCAGTCAACTCCTATCTATGCCTTTTACCACGGATGAGGTAACCCGAGCCATTTCTCAAATGGCTCCTCTTAAATCCCCTGGGCCTGATGGACTACCCGTTATCTTTTACACCAAATACTGGCACATTCTGGGCACCGATGTCTTATCTTGTATCCTTGATTTCCTTAACAATCATAAACTCCCTACTGCGTTGAATTACACCTATATTGTCTTAATTCCTAAGGTTAAAAAGCCAGAAAGAATTACTGAGTATAGACCTATTAGTCTTTGCAATGTTATCTACAAGTTTGGGTCTAAAGTGATTGCTAATCGCCTCAAACTTGTTCTTAACGATTTAATTTCTCCTACCCAATCTGCGTTTGTGCCTAAGAGACTCATATCTGACAATGTTCTTGTTGCTTACGAGATCAATCATTTTATTAAACTTAGCTCGAAAGTCAAAACTAATTACATGGCCCTTAAGCTAGATATTAGTAAAGCATACGATCGAATTGAATGGATTTTTCTAAAAAACATTCTTCTTCGTTTTGGAATTCCGTCTAAATTTGTGGATATTATTATGTTGTGTGTGTCTTCCGTCTCATTCTCGTTTCTTTTTAATGGTACGCAGTTCGGTGCCGTTAAACCGTCAAGAGGTCTTCGGCAAGGGGACCCCCTCTCTCCCTATTTATTCATTTGTTGTGCAGAAGCTCTCATTTCCATGATCACTAAAGCCACGGAGAAAGGAGCATTCCAAGGAGTTCGGGTGGCTCCACAAGCCCCTACGGTGTCTTGCCTCTGCTTTGCAGATGATACTCTCGTATTTGGCGAGGCGACGCGGAATTATGCATCAACTTTGAAGAATATTTTAGAAAAGTATGCGCGGGTGTCAGGACAGGAAATTAGTTTTGAAAAGTCTACGATGATGTTTAGTCCCTCCACCCCGCAGATTATGAGAAACGCTATTCATCAAATACTTGGCTTCCGGATTGTTGAGAGCCACGATAGATATCTTGGGATGCCGGCTTCCATTGGAAAAACAAAAAAAGATATATTTTCCTATCTTCGGGACAAGGTGTGGACTAAAATTAAAGGTTGGGGGGAAAGACAACTCTCTAAAGCAGGGAAAGAAGTGATGATCAAGTCCGTTTTACAAGCGATTCCGACCTACGTCATGAGCTGTTTTTTCCTTCCCGTGGGATTAGTGTCGGAGATTGAGGCAGCAATTAGACGATTCTGGTGGGGCAACGGGTCGAATAGAGGGATGGCATGGGTGTCGTGGAAAGATCTGTGTAAATCTAAGGAAAGTGGAGGGCTAGGATTTCGTGATTTGCGGTCTTTTAATATCGCACTTCTCACGAAACAGGCCTGGCGAATTCTAGCTAATCCAGACCTGCTCTTGTCAAGAATTATGGCAGCCAAGTACTTTCCCAATGGAAATTTTCTGTTCGCCGGAGTTGGTTCACGCCCATCCACAACCTGGAGATCCATTTGGAGGGTTATCCCATATCTGAAAATGGGAATCCGACGGCGTATTGGTAATGGGGCTAATACCTCGATATGGGCCGATCCTTGGCTATATGATGGGGGCAATTTCAAAATTCTTACCAAACGTCCGGTCTCGTCGGCTTTCCCAAATACAGTCTCGGATTTAATGGTGCCTGGGTTTGGTTCGTGGAATTTGGACTTGATATCACGCACTTTTTGGACAGTTGATGTGGAGCGCATTCTTGCGATTCCGGTGGGTGGTCTGTCCACAAGCGATATCTGGATTTGGCATCATTCAAACAACGGGAAATTCTCAGTACGAACATGCTATCACATGGTGCTGACCAATGGAATGGTGACTCGACACAATCGCATGGCCAATGCTGACTCGACTAGTGGCGTGGCGAACCGTGATTGGAAGGTGTTATGGAATTTTCCTTTGCCGCCTAAGATACGAATGTTTTTATGGCGACTGGGAAAAAACTCTATCCCCACTAACGTTGAACTCTACAGAAGAAAGATCGGATTATCACCTAGGTGTGCGCGATGCCACAAGGAGGAGGAGGAGGATGCACTACACATATTGACTACATGTCAAGGTATGGAAACCATTTGGAGATCCCCTCCATTTGACAAAGTCTCTGGCCCGGTAATCACGTGTGCATGGCAGTGGATTATGAACTTAAGGGAACAATTGTGCGAGGAGTTTTTCATTTTGGCTATGGTGGTCGCTTGGCAAGCTTGGGACAGACGCAATAAGGAACTTAAAGGGGAGGAAATAATGGCGGTTGAGGCCCTGGTGGGCTGGTGCGGAAATTATGTGGCGAACTTCAAATGTGCTCAACTTCGTCCGAATCCAAGCTTACGTAGTGCCCACCCTACTGAATGGAAACCACCAGAAAGGGACTTCGTTAAACTGAACTTCGATGTTGCAACTAAATCTGCTCCTGCCGGAATTACAGTGGCAGCGGTTGCTAGAAATGCGGAGGGTCGCAGCTTGGGATGGAAGGTTTGTCATATTCAGGGCAATCTTTTGCCGGTGGAAGGAGAAGCTTTAGCGGCGTTGCATGCAATCAACTTAGCTCAGGATCGAAGTTGGCAAAGGATTAGTATCGAGGGAGATTGTCTTCAAGTTATTAATGCACTGAGGAATAGAAGTGGAGAGTCATTATCGTTCGGTGCTATAGTCGATGAATGCTGTAGTATCTCTAGGAATTTTTTACAGTGTGATTTTAGCTTTGTTAAGCGGTCGGGTAATAGCTTAGCCCACGCGCTCGCTCATGTTATTTGTACTGACTCGTTAGAGGGAATTGATCTCCCCCTCCATTTGGCATCTACTGCCTAATAAATATAAGTATTATTGCTGTCAAAAAAAAAAAAATAATTAATCAATTTTATTATTATATAATAAGGATTTTATTATTATATAATAACATTTTTTCTTAATTATTATCTTTTTTTTAATTTGTCTCAATTTTAAAAAATAATAATTTATGTTTATAGTTAAGTTACTTATTTTATTATCATTTTAATAGAACTTTTATCATAAAATTTTAAATAGTTTGTACATGGGTAATTATCGGTCAACCGAGTTTCAAAGATATTGAAAATCACCAACGAACCCATATAGTATGGGTTAGTTGAAGTTACGAGACCAACTATAGTGGGTTGATGACTTCTTCGACCCTACACCCGATGATAAACATCGGGTGGGTCTTCTGCTGCTACGTATTCTTTTTTTATTTTATTTTATAATATACTAGCATTTTTCTCCCGTGCGATGCACGGGATATTATTTAAATAGTGCAAAAAATTAACAATTTAATACATAATAAGAAAATATAGTATACTAATATAGTAAAATTTAATAATGTAGTATTATTCATATTTTATATAACATTAGTTTTTTAAAATCTTACATATTAAGATTTATAATCCGAAAAAATGGACTAAGATTTAACAAATCGAATTTCTAGCTTTATATCTTAAAATTTGAGATATATTGATGAAAAATAGGAGATTGATAATTGTTAGAAATTATAGTTAAAAAATAGTAGAGAAAAAAATATTAAAAATAAATAATTACATAAGTAGCAATAAGGTAGGATTCTTCACGGTTAGTTTTAATTTTGATAATTGTTAAAAATTATAGTTAGAAATTAGTAGAGAAAAAATATTAAAAATAAATAACTACACACATACCATTAAGGTTTTTTAGGGTTACCGTTTCTTTCTTTTATATATAAGATTATCTTGCTAGGGTTTATCTTTAACAGTTTTACAGTTTTAGGAAAAAAAAAATAAGACACATAACAGCAGAAGACTCACCCAATGTTTATGACCAGGTGTAGGGTCGAAGTAGACCTGGGTTGATAGACATTTAAGTATAGGCCAATAAAAATAGATCAATAGTGAATCGCTTGGTAGATAAAACCATCTCACTCCCATCTCTATGGAATAATATAAAAATGACACCTACGTTCGTAATATTTTTTTTTTATCGAATGCCCATCGAGCAAGGGGTTAGGAAGACCCCAAACTGTTTATAATCTCAAATTATAACCTAATTAATATAACGTTATTAATATTACACTAATTAATTCGATACAACTTTTCTTTTAACCATCATACAAATTAAATAACAAAAATCGCACAACGTGAAAATTATAAATTTTTCCATGAGCTTTCTAATATAACTTGAATAAAAAAAAAAATTGTATGAAAAATAATTATCAAAATACTCGATCACTTTATTTTATTGTGATTTATGACTATGATTTATTTTTTTTTATTTTTGAAAAAAACGAAATATATTAGGTTAAACCAGTCAAACTAGAAGGAAGAGAATATCCTTCCGTACAATCCAAAACAATCCAAAACTGAAGAGGTAGCAATAGCATGAGCGAGTTGGTTGCAACCACGCTTTACAAATGAGAAAGAACAATTACGAAAAGTAATGGCAAGAATTTTAATGTCTTCTAGATAGGCTCCGTAAGAAGTGATGAAGCTCTCACCAACCTGGATAGATTTGAGTACCCGTAAATTGTCGCCTTCCACTATAATATGGGGCCATCCATGATTAGCCTCTTGTTGGATCGCTTGGAGCGCTGCGTGAGCTTCGCCATCGACCGGGCTCACTGTTCCCTGTACCCTATAACCACACTCCACCACAGAACTTGGCCGAGAGATTTCCTCGCTACCATCGCCATCTTATAAAAGTCGCATTTTGGGGGTAATGCAACGTCGAAGTTGACCTTAACAATACCTGTCATGGGAGGTTGCCAATGTGCTTGACTTTCCGAAATCATGGCAGGCAGATTAGGGCTAAGAGCTTGATGGAAGACTTCCAAATAACTCTCACTCCAGTCTCCACGGCACCAGCTCACCCACTCCAACTCCGGGATTCCCATGCACGTCATTATTCCTCACCTCCCACAACTTCCAGCAGACCACCATTGCCAAGAGAAATAAGTAGTCAGTTAATTCTCTGTGAAGAAAAAGATAACCATGCCAGGAAAGATTGAAGTCTCGGCACACACACAGGTTAAACGGCTCTACCATCCACACCTTCGAAATGTTTCTACAATGCACGAGAACATGCATAATCGTTTCTGGGTGGATCCCGCAGTGGCCACGAAACGGAGAGCGAACAACATGTTGCCGGAAAAGTGCCACGTAAGTAGGGAGGATGTCCGAGATTGCTCGCCAAAGAAAATGTTTGATCTTGGGAGGGATCGAGAGGTTCCAGAACAGTTTCCACTGCCTCTTCCGGTCTTCACAACTCGAGGAGGGACCTCTCCCTACTGTTGCCTTTGGAAAAGACCGATTGTTGTGGATTTGATGGTAGCATGATTTAATTCGGTGAACCGACTATTTGTAGACAACTTCCACACAAGGCGGTCTTTCGCATGAAAACAGCCGATGGGGACTTCTCGAATCCGAGCTCGATCAATGGGCAAGAATGTATCATTGATGATAGTCAAGTTCCAAATTCGTGAATCCAGGTTAATCAAGTCTGCTACTGAATTTGGGAAGGCCGTGTGGGAAGTCCTTTTGGTGAAAATAACTCCACTGTCCCTCAACCACAGTGCACCCCAAATCGAGGTCGAGAGTCCGTCCCCAATTCGAAACTCGAAGTCCCATCTTCTCACAATAACGGTTGATAGCAAACTTCTCCATGTCGCCGAGGGACGAGTACAACCATCCGCTGTCCAGATAATACCCACCGGAAAGTAGCGGGCCTTTAATATTCTCGAGAGGAGCAAATCTGGATTGGTTAGGATTCTCCACAATTGTTTTGCCAACATGGCTACGTTGAAGCTTCAGAGATCTCTGAAGCTTATTCCCCCGAATTCTTTGGACTTACAAAGGTGCTGCCACGAAGTCCAAGCCATGGATCTCGAGCGACCACTTCCCCACGAGAACTTCCGCATAGCCATCTCGATCTCATCTACCAATCCCTGTGGGAGAGAGAAGCATGCCATAACATATAACAAATTACAAAACATCAAGATTAATTGTAACTCTCTTTTTCTCTATAAAATATGTAGTTGTCGTTGTATGTTACATTAGGATTAATTAGGGGTGTAAATTGGAATGGGATTTGCAAATTTCGCCAATTTCGATTTGAAAATATTTGAATTTGAAACCATATTTGTAATTCTGATTTTCGATTCTTCCGAATTTATTTGGAATGGTATATAGAATTACCAGAAAATCTGATTCCCAATCCGATTTTAGTTTCAAATACTTTTATGATTTTTCGAAATAGATAATATAATTTTATAATATAGTTTGTAATTTAATAATATAACTTATGTTATATTTTATATGAAAATTATAAATACCGAAGGATCAAGTAAATTAAAACCTCATAAAAGATTAATTGGTATAAAAAGAATTATGTTACATTTTTTCTTATAAGAAAATTTATGTTTCAATTTGTTGTTCCTACATGTGTTTTTATTTATTGCGTTTTGTCGAACTCCCTTTTGTGAAGACCGCCATTTCAGTTCCTAGGCAACGTCACTATATAAGTTCGCTACCGAAATGAACAATTTTTTTAATCAAATATGTCTTAAGAATATTTTATGGTGTATACCTACACGTACGTAGCATGAAAATTTCAACTTCTTAATATTTTTGCGCTGGGATACGTTTTTTGTCGGATACTTGAAGACACCTGTCGGACACCTTATGGGCCATTTTATAATTTCTAAAAAGTTACAAACATGTTTGAATAGCAAAGTTTCAGATATTTTTGTTGTTTCCCTAATTATTTACACGATTTAATGATCAATTGCAAATTGATAGTTGATACTAAAATTTATTTTGAACATGTTTGTATGAAAAATATATATAAAAATTAATTTATATATAAATAAAAACTTATATATATGTTTATATAACATATTTATAAATAAATCGCTATAATTTTAATATTCACACATTTCCCTCAAGTTCATGTATCCCCATTTCTTGTTTCCCCATTTCTTGTTTCCCCATATCTGATTCCCCGTATCACCGTTTACATGCCCGTGCTGCATACTGTGTACCTATTTTTTTAGTTAAACAATTGTATGCAAGGAAACTTTTTTAACGTTAATTGTTAGTCAAGGTTAAACTATAAATCACAATCTTTTTATTTTATTTTATTTGTTCTGTTTAGGAAAACGACCATGAATAAGCATTTAATGCGAACTACAGTATACATGGAAAGTATATAGATGCTGCTAGTATATATATTAAATATGGTAAAAAAATCACAGCGGTTAACTTCGGCAGAGAAAATCTTCTATATATTATCATGACCATCTGAAGATCGAACAACTTCACAATTGTAATTTTCCTTGTCTGAATAATTCTCATCGATCGTTCAGCCATGGAAAACAACAAAGTATTAAGTATTTGCAAGAAAAAAACAATGGGTCGAAGGAAGATCGAAATAAAAAAAATTGAAAAGAAAAGCAGTCTGCAAGTAACATTCTCGAAGCGGAGAACCGGCCTGTTTCGAAAAGCCAGCGAACTCAGCGTTCTCTGCGGTGCGGAAATCGCAATCCTCGTGCAATCTCCGGCGAATAAGATCTACTCATACGGCCACCCTTCCGTCGAAACTTTGCTCCACCGCTACCAGACCGGGGGAGGTGGCGGAGCATCCTCGAGTATTATCCCTTACAGTGAAGACGGAAGGAGTAAGTACGATGAAGCTGTAAAGAAACTCGAGATAGTAAAGAGATCAATGAAGCAAGAGAGTAATACAAGATTCTGGTGGGACGAACCGATGGATGGCATGGAACTGTACGAACTTGAGGAATATGTCGAAGCAATGGAAGCTTTGAAGGATAACGTCTCGCGCAGAGTCGAGGAGATAGAGAAGCAGAAATCGAACGCTGCTTCCGCTTCCACGTCGGATCTTGATCCTAGTTTCCAGATTAATTATCAAGATTTCGATGCAAGTAACTTTCTTGATTTTTCTTTATGTTGTTAGGATTTCTAGGGTTTGTGAAGAACTTTTTCAATTGTTTCAAGAATCAAATCATTAGTGCATATGTGTTCATTAAATTCAGACATTAACGTGAACTGAGTTATTGATCATTACAAGTAATTTATTCATTAGTATTTCTTGCCAGATTCTTAAAAGTTTCTTTCAAAGTAATTGTTAGTGCATATTTTTTTTATTGAGCTAATTGCAAACACCACCCATGTGTTATCTCTCATTGTCAAATACCCCCCTGTGAAAAAAAACTCACCAACACCCCCTTGTGTTAACATTTTCGAAGCACACTGCACCCTTTACGATTTTAGCCTTTGACCGAAGGTAAAGTGACAAAAATACCCTATTGGGGTTTTTCAGCAATTAATAAAACATATTATAATTTTATAGATATTATATGTTTTTTTTTTATTTTGTAAATATTAATAATAAAAAAATATATTTAAACCAAAATGAAATATATATTATATATTATAATATTAATAGTTTTTATATGTTTTCTATTATATTTTTTACTTTCTACATTAAATAAAGAAAACAAAAAAAAAAAAAAAACACAAAAAAAGGCCCTTCTTCTCCAGACCCCCGCCCTCCCACGCAATTCACAGCCGTCATCTACCATTTCTTCACCCGACTGCCGCTTGTGCTCCGCCGCTGCTCACCACCATCTCACCCCTCCTTCACCACCACCACCATCTTCTCCAGATCCGTCGCCGACAACATTTTTGAAATTTGAGTTTCCACCAATAAAATTTTCGTGTACCTCAAACCTTTCCACAATATCCTATTTTGACGGCGATGGCAGCAATAAGGCGAGCAAGAGAAGAGAAAAGAACAAAACGATACAATTTTTGGACCTAATACTTTCGGCCGTCAAACTCGCCGCCGTCGATAGAAATCGTTTGGAGATATTTTAGATAGGTCATTGCTGTAATTGAGGTTGGGTTAGCCTCGGGTTGCTCGAATTCGGATCTGGTATGTGAATTGCAAAAGAGGAGGTGGTGGTGCCAAACTTCATCTTTTCTTATTGAGGTTGGGTTGTTGGGGTTGGGGTTAGGGGGTGGGGAACGGGAAGAAGACGGTGAATTTCTTTTTTTTTTTTAATGACTTACAATATTTTTCATATAAATTACAATTCTGGAAATTACAATTTGGCCCTATAAATTTAGGTAATTTAACCAACAAGGTTATTTTTTATTTTATAAAGGGGTATTTATGACATTTCACGCTAAAAATACAATTAAAAATCGCACAATCCGCGAGTGAGTGACACGATTTCCCTCCAGGGGTCTTGATGCTCTGACTTTGATAACACAAGGGGGTGTTGGTGAGTTTTTTTTTCACAGGGGGGTATTTAACAATTAGAGATAACACAGGGGTAGTATTTGCAATTAGCTCTTTTTTTATTAGTGTTTTTTTTTTCCTTTTCTGCTTGAGGGTTTTTTAGGGTTTGAAGAAGCGAATCATGAATACGTATTTTTATAAAATTATGACAAGTAACTGAAATCGAAAGTTCAATACATTGAGACAGTAACCCAATGAGTTGATGTTTTATCATTAATAAACATTAATATATACATATATATACATTTGTTCTGTAAGTATATGTTGATTATGTTATTACATAAACATTAGTTGACTCGATTTTTTTTTTCTACTTGTTAATTCGGCAGGGATGTAAGAGCGAGTTAGAAGAGATGTTGAAAGGGGAGGCCGGAGATGATATCAACGCACAGATGGAGAAAGGCATCAGTGGTTCGATTGACGATGACGACGATGTTCTAAACATTGATGAACTATTTAATTTCAATCAAGATCCAACCATCTTTTTCGACATCTGATCCCAAGCTTCACTTGAGAATTATTATTAAATATTATTTATAGTATAGGCTAACGATATTGTTGATTTTTGTTTGGAGTCTGATCAATCAGTTGTGTATATATTCATATATATATTACATGCTTTCCCATTCAGCTGGATGTGGAATTTTAATTAGTCTTTTTTATGCATTCTTGGTCTGTTACTGTTTTAAGGTTTATTGAATTAATTATTGTTTCATCCTCAGAAGATATATAAAATACTTTATTCATATTTCAAGAGAGCTAATTTTTTTCTAACATTACCTTCTCATATATCATTGCTTTTAAAATAAACTAAATTAAAGTACTCTTTAGAAGACATCAGTATTTTTTTTAATTAGATTTTTTATTGGATGTACATACATATTTCTCTAGTTAATTTCGTAGTTTTTACATTAGTATTTCAAAATTAAAACAAATAAAAATAATGTCTTCAATTTGTTTAAATTGAATGAATAATTATTTTAAAATTAATAAAATTCAATAATTGTTTGACAAAAAAAGGAACCTCAGCTTTTGTTTAATATAATTACACGAACCAAGTACAATTGTTTCATGTAATACAACACGAAATGGTAAAAAAAAACAAAGGTTGTATAAATAAAAATGAAAAAGAGAAAACCTTGGTTCATGTTGAATACATTGAACGGACCAAGTGAAATTTGTCCGTGCATTACAACATGGGAAAAAAAACAGTAGTTTGCGTTGAATTACACGAACCAATTGCGTTTGGTTAAACTATTGCATTTTTCATTCAAATATATTGTTTTACGAACAAAAATATTGCTTTTTGGCTCTTTGCATCTTCGAAAAAAATTTATAGCACTTTGCACCTTTGAAACATGCACGGTAAATCATGCATGATTCACCCCGAATGAATTTTTAAAGTTAATAAAAGTAATTTAAATTTTTGTGATATTTTTAGGATGTCAAATGTCAAATCAATTTTTTTATTTATCAATCCTTTCGAAATGACGAAGTGCAAAAAAATATCTCATCAACATATTAATTATTGTTTTGCACAAAAAAATATTTTACAAATAATAAAAAGAACAAAAAATATCCTTCAGCTATTTAGATATTAAGATATTTGAAAATTATATTTTATTTCAAAGATTTCTACCAATAATTTTACTAATATAAAAGTACATCAATCGAATAATGTAGTGAATTTTTTTGTACGAAAATAGAGGTTTACAGTAATTCTTTGTGATTTTTTTTTTCGTGTTTTGTACACTCGAAATTATGTAGCGGGTGGAAGAATAATAATTTTATTTTTTATTCTGCACCCTGACAATAAAAACAATCAATAAAAAAATGAAAATACCCTTATTGAGTTTTAAATATTCAATTCTAGTACATTGCAAATGATTTATGGTGTTTCGAGGCTGCAAAATGCTATTAATTTTTTATAGGGTGCAAAGTGCCAAAATACCACATTTCAAAGGTGCAAAGTGGGATTAAGCCGAATCGCGATTGTGATTAAATGAAAGTGAGCCAACAATTACAAATGGCGAAAAAAACAAATGTGATGTTAAATGTCTTCTCTTTTTATTTTTTAAGGTAATGTAAATTTAAGATTATGCATAGTGTTCTTATACAGTCATCAATTTAGCTGATTTAAATTAAAATAGAAAGTCAATTCAATAGTCTGCGACATTAATGTTTTGAATTCTCTCAGACTCGAATCATAAAATGGTTAAAGTTATGTTTTAAGTCGACTTATTGTGGGTTAGGATAATATTCGTTTTCTCATGCATAATTATCTCACCTGACATCCAATTTGATTCAAGTTAGGATTAGAAAGTTAATTCAAATGAAATTTGGTACTTTGAGTTTCGACAAATTCGGGAAAAATGGGACAAAATCACATTTGTAGTTAGAACAATACTAGTGAAATTGAAAAGTAGCTCCCGCCGTAAGAAATCAAGTTTATTTCTTTTGTAGCCCATAATCCCAGTTTCGCCGGACTAAATGTTGAACCTAAAATGTATTCATGAATATATTTATGCAGATTCAAATTTAATTTTATCGATACATAGAAATTAAAAATTCAAATATTCTGACGTTTGCGTGCGCATATTATATATATGAATAATAGGGTAGGGAATATGGATCGGGTAAGTTGATCATCATTCGAATAAATGTACTATGTAGAATTGTAGACTGTACTTTGAGATCAACATATCAATATAAGAAGATCAAGTATGCCCAGTGACAAAATAAAATCCAATTAGTCGAGTTGATGCCTGAATAATGACCAATTTAAATTATTTATGCAAACCGTTTAACAAATATGATGTCCAATGTAGCCAATGCATCAGCGTCAATGAACATGAAAATTTTTGTGACGGAGAAGCGCAAGAGTGTCTCGAATCGAAATAAGGACAGATTGTAAGGTCCAATAACCAATGTTCAATACCACGTCGCAATTCAATTGCCCGTGGTTCAAAATGTGGTACAACATTTGAATGTGAAAAAAATCGAAAATTGCATATTAACCACTTCAATGAAAGTTAATTATTTAACATAGGTTCTGTTTGGTTAAGCTTATTATAAACAGTTGATAAAGTCTTACATCCGATAAGATGTTTTAAGAGCTAATAAGCTGTAAAATCTTTTTTTTTTATCATTAATTTTTAAAGTGTTTGGATAAAAAACTTATATGTATTTTTACTCATTACAAGATTTTGGGTTAACTGCAAAAAAATCCCCTAAACTTTGGACCTTTTTGCGCTTTACCCCTGAACGGAAAAAAATTACACGGGCATACCTAAACTCTATTATTCTTAGCACCGACGTCCAAAATGTCAATTTTTGGCCAAAATTGACCGGAAATGAAATCACGTGCCTTACACGTGAATATAGCTTGGGTAAATTAGTCTTTTCCTTGTACACCCATTGTCTTCCTTTTATTTTTAATAAATATAAAAACATGAAAAAATGACGCCCTTTTTTGGTCTTGCCCACTCTTTGGTTCCATTGCCGCTGCTCCAGCACTACTCACCCCCAGAGGATTCCCCAAACTCACACGCACACTACACACAGTAGCTATATCTTTGTTTTCTATTTTCTCCTCACTGTGTTGTGTGTTTACTTAGGGTGCATTTGGATGGTGTGGGAGGGATTTCAAATCCATAATAACAAATTCATTAAACTTGTTTTGATTGATGGATTTGAAGATGGATTTCAAATCCACATCCCTCATTTAAATTTTACTTGATTTTGGAGCGATAATAGTGGATTTCAAAAGACTCCAAATTAGAGTCAATTCAAATCCCTTCCCAAAATCAAATTCCTCCAAAATCAAATTCCCTGCAAATTCCTCCATCCAAATGGACCCTTATTATTTTTGTTTTTCTCTTGGGATTTGAGTTGAGAGCAATGGCGACGGCGTTTGGAACAACAAATGCCTTGGCATCGGGTATTAAGGGCTCTGATTACCTGACTAAGCATTAGCTGACACCAGACTATTTTACTGTTGAAGTCAGGTAACCGTAGCTCCAATCATCAGCCATAAGAGGGAAGAAAAAAAAAGGTTGAATGTCAACTAATGTTGAAGTTAAGTAATGTTGAGACACCTTATTAAGTGAAGATCCAACGACCTGCCGCCGGAAAAAAAAAAATAAGTTGTCAAATAATGTTAAAGTTAACTAATGTTGAGTCAGCTAACCGGAGCTCCGACCTACCAGCAGTATAAAATTGAAAGAAGAATAATAATAAAAGGAAAAAAAAAATGAAATGTCAACTAATGTTGAAGTTAAAAAATACGGAGTCAGCTAATCGGAGTTCCGACAGTCCAGGCCACTGCCGCTAAAAAAAAAGGTCGGGTCGGATCGGGTCGTACCGGGTGGGCGGGGTGAGTTGGGCTTATCTCAAAATAGAAATATGTAGAATTATTTGGAATTTTTTTTTTTGTATAATTATTTAAAATGAAAGTTAAATAGTGTGTTTTTTTTTGTTATCGGAAAATTTATTTTATTAAATAGCGCAAGGTTCGCAAAGTATCAATTTATATTACAAGCACACCACCTCACAAGTCTACAAACTCGCTATATTTTGAGCTTATATCACTTGAAACTTCTCTTAGTGTTCCCAAACAATTGTTACGAGAGACACTCCATTTACGTGCATGTGCTGCATAGTGTATAAGTGTAAGTGTAACTATATATTTTTAGTTAAACACTTGTATCCAGGGAAACTTTTTTAACGTTAATTGTTAGTCTGTTTAGTATAAATCACAATCTTTATTTTATTTTATTTATTCTGTTTAGTAAAACCATGAATAAGCATTTAATGCGAACTACAGTGTACCTGGAAAGTATATAGATGCTACTAGTGCGTATCACTTAAAATATGGTAAAAAAATCACAACGGTTAAATTCCGCAGAGAAAATTTTCTATAAATCACGACCATCAGAGAAGATCGAACCACTTCGCAATTGTTATTTTCCTTGTCTGAATAATTCTCATCGGTCGATCAGCCATGGAAAACATCAACAACAAAGAATTAACTATTTGCAAGAAAAAAACAATGGGTAGAAGGAAGATCGAAATAAAAAAAATTGAAAAGAAAAGCAGTCTGCAAGTAACATTCTCGAAGCGGAGAACGGGCCTGTTTCGAAAAGCCAGCGAAATCAGCGTTCTCTGCGGTGCGGAAATCGCAATTCTCGTGCAGTCTCCGGCGAATAAGATCTACTCGTACGGCCACCCCTCCGTCGAAACTTTGCTCCACCGCTACCAGACCGGAGGTGGCGGAGGCGGCGGCGCAGCCTTGAATATTATCCCTTACATGGAAGACGGCAGGGATAAGTACGATGAAGCTGTAAGGAAACTCGAAATCGTAAAGAGATCAGTGAAGCAAGAGAGTAGTATTAGTAGTACAAGATTCTGGTGGGACGAACCGATGGAGGGGCATGGAACTTTACGAACTTGAGGAATATGCCGAAGCAATGGAAGCTTTGAAGGATAACGTCTCGCGCAGAGTCGAGGAGATGGAGAAGCAGAAATCGAACGTTGGTTCCGCTTCCACGTCGGATCTTGATCGTAGTTTCCAGATTAATTAATAAGATTTCGATGTAAGTAACTTTCTTGACTTATTATTATTATTTAGGGTTTCTAGGGTTTGTGAAGAACTTCAATTTTTTCAAGAATCAATCATTAGTGCATATATGTTCATTAAATTCAGACATTAACGTGAACTGAGTTTTTGATCATTACAAGTAATTTGTTCATTAATATTTCTTGCCAGATTCTTAAAAGTAATTAATTGTTAGAGCATATTTTTTTTATTAGTGATTTTTTTTGTCCTTTCGCTTTAGGGTTTTTAGGGTTTCAAAAAAGTGAATCATCAATACGTATATTCTTATAAAATTATGACAATAAATTGAGACAGTAACATGATGATCGAATTGATGTTTTATCATTACATATCCATTCATTGTTTCTTGCCAGATTCAATCGTCTACATATATATACTGTTGTTCTGTATAAGTATAAGTTGATTATGTTATTATATTGACTCGATTTTTTTTCTTTCTAATTGTTAATTCGGCAGGGATGTAACAACGAGTTAGAAGAGATGTTGAAAGTGGAGGCTGGAGATGAGGTTTCTTACATGTTGAAAATCGGCAGAAAATGTGGAAACCTTTGTTAGCATGTGTCATATGATATGGAACTGACTCTTAGGTTGTGTTTGGGAAGTACTTCTATTTTATGGTTACGGAAAGGAAATTAGATGCTATACCTGATTATTTACATTGGGTGAATTTGAATTGTAGATCTATACATAATTACACATACATCCACGTGTATTTGTACTGATTGGATAGTTATTTAATCTAATCTACGATTCAAATCTACCCGGTGTAAATAGCTAGATGTAGCATCTAACTTCCCGGAAAATTAGATGCTACATAAATGTTACATCAGGAGATACGTGTTACAAATACACTTTATAGGAAAGTGTTGCATATTGTTGTTATTTCTATTGACTTCCTAATATAATTCTATTGTACTCGCATTTTAGAATGTATGTAAAACATTTTATACATTTATGAATTTTTAGAAAGGCACTCTCAATCATAGTATTAATTCAATCACTATCATCAATTTGAAACGCCGATACATAGTATAAATATGAGTGTTATTTCATTTGTAAAGTCACGGTGCTTGCTAAAACTATAAACAACCACCATCTAAGATAACCTTTTATTTTCCTTTCGCAGAAATTAAAAAAAATAAAAGGAAAATATAATAACATGACTATACATTAAGAATGGATTGCACAAATTAAAAAAATCAATAAAAAAGAAAGAACAAACCATGATAGATGATATCAACGCACAGATGGAGAAAGGCGTCAATGGTTCGATTGCGGATGACGACGATGTTCTAAACATTGATGAACTATTTAATTTCAATCAAGATCCAACCATCTTTTTCGACCTCTGATCCAAAGCTTCATTCGTGAATTATTATTAAATATTATTTTAAGTATAGGCTAACGTACGATATTGTTGATTTTTGTTTGGAGTCTGATCAATCAGTTGTGTACAACTGTATATATTCATATATTACATGATTTCCCATTCAGTATACTTTGCTGGATCTGGAATTTTAATGGATGTCTTTTTTCTGCATTCTTGCTCTGCAGTTACTGTTTAAGGTTTATTGAATTAAGGGTAAATTACACTAACACCTCTGAGGTATTCTAAAATAACTTTAGGATTTTTTTGTGATAAAATAAGAAAATAGGATAAAAATTAACAAAAAAAGAGTTTTTTTGCATTAATTTGAATTTTTTATGAGCTAATTAATAATCATTTTTTGCTAATTTGAAATTTCACAAATTATTTAATTTTGACCCAAAAAATTTTTTTTCAAATTTTTTTGTTCAATAAAACTTTTTTTTCCCGCCGGATTACGGCGTTGACCGGCGGTCGACGCCGGTCTCCATCGTTGAATTTTTCGATTTTTTTTTCTTTACTTTTCTTTCTTTCTATAAACTTTTTTTTCGTTTAAACAACAATATTGCTGTGATTGACAGTAATATTAACTATGTTACTGTTAAACACAGTAAAATTAACTAAACTACAGTTTAACACAGTAATATTGCTATATTAATCTCCAGCACAGTAATATTAACACAACAAAACTCATTATTGTTGTGTAATAGAGTAATATTACTATTGACCGTTCAACAAATGTAAACATAATAAAAAGGCAAAAGAATTAATATTACTGTGAGTGACAATAATATTACTATAACTACAGTAATATTACCGTCAACCACAATAATATTACAATAATAGACAATAATACTATTATGTTACTCCGTGAATAACTCAAACAAACAAAAAAATTCAAACAAAATAATAATATTGATGTGGTTGACAGCAATATTACTATAACAACAGTAATATTACCGTCAACCACAGTAATATTATTGTGTTTAAAGTAATATTACAATAATAGACGGTAATATTATTACGTTACTCCGTGAATAACTCAAACAAAACAAAAAACCCAAAAAAATAATAATATTGATATTGTTGACAGTAATATTATTGTGTTTACAGTTATTTTACTGTCAACAACAGTAATATACTTACGTTGACTTGTCAACAAATCAAAAAAAATAAAAAAATAACAAAAAATAAAAAGTAATAATATTACGTTCATTTACTGTCAACGGCAGTACAATTACGTTAATTAACTGTCATTGACAGTATAACTACATTAATTTACTGTCAGTGACAGCACATTAATTACGGTCAACGTTCAGCGGCGGACTAAAAAAAAAATTAAAAAAAAAACTAAAAAAGTCAATGCCGGAGATCGCCGGTCAACGCCGGAAACCGGCGAAAAAATCCGGAAGAAAAGAAAAGAAAAGAAAAAAAAAAAATCAACGCCGGAGACCGGCGAAAAAATCCGAAAAAAAAAATCGAAAAAGTCAACGCCTGAATCCGGCGGCAACAAAAATTTGAAAAAAAAGGTTTTTGAAAAAACTAAGTCAAATTGAATTTTTGTGGACAAAATTGATTAAATTGAGGTTACAATTTAGAATTGGGAATAAATGGTTGGGGGTAATATTGACATATACATGAATGTTTCTTTTATTTATAATAAATATTAAAGGAATGGGCTTATTGGCGAAAGAGATATAGCCCTTAAACCTAGAATAATAAATATGCTTGTTTGGGGACTTATGCACAATGTTTTGAAAACCGGACCGGACATCGACCCGGCTAAGCTACTGGGTCACGGTTGGACCGGTTCAACCGAGGTCCAACCGGGTTTCTTACTTTTTTTTTTATATATAATTCTTTATTAATTTAATACCTCACAAATAATATATTTAATATTTTTATATTTGCTTTTCACTTCCATCACTTTATTACCCAACTCACTCCACCTTTTTACAAAAAAATAATTTAAAATTATTAATTTTCTCCTCTTCTCACTCCTCTCTCTCTCCTCCCCCCTCCCCCCCCCCCTCTCTCTCTTCTTCTTCCTCTCGTCTTCACAGCCACAGGCCCATCCCCTTCTCTTCTTTATTCTCTTTTATCTCTGTTTATTCTTAATTATCACAATTTACACCCTGACTTATACTCTATTTGCTCAACTTATTTTTTCATTTTCACTTCTCCTTCTTCGTTTTCTTTTCTTCGGTGGAAATCTATGGCTGCCACCACTTGATTTGGTCATTACTACTCAGATCCGTCTAGATCCGTTCGCCAACAACCCTTTTCGACAAGATTCTATCACCCACGACCACCATTGACTTAGATCCGGCCATGAATTTTTTTGAGCTAAAAACCGGTTTTTGGACTGGGTTCCGGGTTAACCGGTTCTTACCGGTCGAACCTGAATTTTGGCTTTTGACCCGGGTTTTTGAGATTTTTGGTTTTTCACAACTAACCGGACCGGACATGGTGGCGGTTCGCGGTTGAACCGGTCCGACCGGCCAGTCCGGTCCGGTTTTCAAAACATTGCTTATGCATAAAAATCCCTAAATTTAATGATTAGAATGATTTTATTTCTCTTAAACTCTTATGTGTATAGTAGAACTTTCAAGACATGAATAAATTATTAAGTATAAATTAAATTATCCTTAATTAACTCAAAAAATATATTATATTGTATATTATCATTATGTATAAATTTCTCCCAAAATGTATAATAATATACAATGTTTAATATTCAAATCAAAAATAAATTTTATTATAAAATAAAAGATTAGATAAATAGATAATATTAGGTTTAGCAAATTAATTGGATGATCCTAATTACTTTAATATAATATACTAAGGTCTCGTTTGGTTGTCAAGATAATATTAGCCAAGATAAGATAATTCTCCCAATAAAATAAGAGTGGTGTTATTTCCACCTCCGAAGTCTCTCAATTCACCACAAATATAAAATATCATAAATATCCCTCGAATTTCTAGTCAACCACCCTTTCTTATATTCGTTGAATCCTCATGTGTTCTAATTTGTCTATTTTTTTTTTTGGCAACTGAAATATTTATTACAAGATATTCAAACTTTCATATCGAATGACGTGCATATTATGTAACGTTTTTTTAGGAAACGAAATTAGATTAAGCCGAACAGGCCAATTATCGAGAAGTTGAGGACCTTCGAGACAATCATAAAGTTCAGGGTCTTCCTTACAAGCATTCTTAATTTATTTCTTCAAGAGTATGAAATCCTGCTCTCTTTGACCATTTGAGATGTTTTTCTCTCACTAAAGTATTGTTCACTTAAGGCGGAGAGGGTGAGATTTTGCGGTAAAGATTCACGTGAAAATTGTGGGCTTTATTTATTTTTATTAATTAGTTTAGTAGACGATTTATGAATTTGTACATAATATAGTTGAAAGAAAAAGAAAGGGATAAAATAGGAAATGTATAAAATTTGGTGGTGAAGGGG